AACCTGATTCTTCCTTTAGAGACCTTTAGAGTTGTGTGCGATTGCAAAAGGAAGTTCAAGGTTTTCCTGTATTTTGCATGCCTCCCCTGAAAGGCTGGTGGGGTAAAAGCCTTGTGGGCATCTCAACAACTACAGGATTTGGTGTCCTTACTCAAGCGTGCTCCTTGGTCTCTTGCTGTGGTGCTGTATTTTCTTGTTCAGTATTGCCCTGGTAGATAATCAAACGGAGAACAGCAGACCACCAGCAAGTTTGCTTTCCTTGATGACCTTAGCTGGTTTTGCATGAGGGACAACAGAAGGCAGCTGCTTTAAATCACCACTGACTTGGGCCATCAGCACATGTTCTTACTTTTGGATCTGCTTGCTTTCCCCATTCTGTTTCAGTTGATATTCCTTTGTCGCACTAGAGTGAGGATTAAAGGGAGAGTATGAGTCAGTTTAATAGACACTTACAAAGGTTTTTTAAAGACAATTACCTAAAAACGACTAGGATGTTTTCAATGTAGCATTCTCCATATTCCTGATGTGTTACTGTTACCTTGCAGAAAGAGATGTAATTTGTCCAGGCTATCCCCATCTTCTCTGAAACCCAGGTTAGGGTTCCAAAATCAACTACTACACGAACGTGAAGTATATACAGACAAATGCCTGCAAGCTCATAATAATTTCATCCCTGTGTATGCGTATACAAATCCATGGAAAACAGGACATAATCCTATCAAATATGTCGATAATTATGCATATAAAACATTCAGAACCTCCGAGAAGGATATATTGGTGACTTGAAGCTGAGATTTAATATTTAAGAGTATATTGCATCATTAAAAGGTACATAGTTGGAGAAAAAAATCAACCATGATTGTTTTTCCTTTATTGATGCTAAGATAAGGTTTATACAGGTAATGATCTTGTCTAAATAATGGCTAGTTTTAGTGTCACAGTTTATTTTTCCAGCAGATGAGCATTTATTAGGTGATGGAAATTCTATTAACAGGAAATGAGTCCAATTTGGCTTTGCAAAATGCAGCATGTGCCAGCTGCAGACTTGCAAGCATCGCTTGTTAAATCGTTCTGTAGCGTAGGGAAGGGTAAGTTCTGGAGTGTGCAAGCATCTTTCTTTACATTTACGTATTAATTTTGTTCCTCAAGCACATCTTTGTAATGGCTTAGGAGTAGGCTAAAGAGAGCTCCAGAATAATCATGTTAAAGGGTTTTGTGTGTGCTTTTGGTGTTTTAGTTTTTTTCATAACAAGAGACAGAGATGATACAGATGTGAGCAGGACATGAACACCACAGGACATCTGTGTGACACTTTCCTTTCTTTTTGTCAGTGAGGAAGCCAGCATGGAAGTGACCTCTGAGACTGGAGCTCTGCATTCCAGAAACGTTGCTCAGATTAGTGCAGTCCAGTGTTGGGAACCTGCTTGTTCACACAGTGGTAGTGTGCATGCACTAAACACCCTGTGGCTCTGGGATGCTGTTCGGAGAAATTGAGCTGCTGCTGCTGTAGATTTGCCTGATGAGTGATTGGATATTCGCTTTCATCAGCTCCTGATCGATGGCAACTATACTTAACCCTTCACAGTGTTAGAACCCTTCAGTGTTTGTGCACAACCACTGCTGTTTGATTTTATCCACAAGTTTTTTTACTTAATCCAATCAAATAGGATCAGTAAATTCTACTGATTTAAGAGCAAATTTCTATAAGGGCAGAGCCTCAGTTGTGATTCTGTGAAGTTAAATTTGCATGATGCTTTATCCCGTGTTAAATGCAGCAGGTCACACTGCTCTCCTTCCTAATGATGCTGTCTGGCAACTGTGGGGAAGTCAAGCTGTATCATCTGTACGGTAGGAACATGATGCCATCTGACAGTATCTCCCCCTCACTGAGGGCTAGATGTCTCAGACCGTTTTATGTTGATGGAAGAGCAGAGCATGACTGGGGCCTGGATGAAGACTGGTGTCATTTTGTAAATCAGGATTAGTCCTTCGGGTCTTTTAGTAACTGCCACTGCAGTATGGCCTTATTATCATTCTACATAGGTGAATAGATTGACAGCCAGGACTCTGTTTTCCTTAGGTTGTTTATAAAAGCATTCAGCCAGTCTTATGCTAACTCTGGAAACAGCAGACTCTTGCTTCAGTAGTAGTACTGGTGATTTGCTCCTGAATTCCAAATATAGTGTTGCTTATAATTGTTTAAAATTGGTAAGGAAATAGGTCACTGTGCTAGCTTATTTCGTTTTGTGAGATCTTGAAGCTTAAGTACTGTCTTACTTAAGTACTGTACTGTCTTACTCATTCCCCTTTAGCTGATGTTTTGGTAGGAGTTGTCTACTGGGCACAAATTTACCCAAGGGTGAAGGGATCGAAAAAGGAGGTGTAAAGGAGTGAGCCGGGGCCATTTTTTACACGTATGTGTCTGTATGGGCAAATAACGATACATGGAAATCTAGGCTTTATTCATTCTGCTGTTCACACAACAATTTGGGGGCATTTTCCTTGTTTTGAAAGCAGAAAATTTGGCTTGCTAGGTTGGCAACAAAAGCATTCGTTTAAAAACTTGCCAGAATGCAACTTATTTGTTTTGGTGTTTTTATCTTGTGAGTGAGCTGGCTGACGTGCTGCAATTTTTTATGCCAAAACCACACCCATTCTGGCCACCTGTTTACTGTGGGTGTAAAAATACCTAAGTATGACTGAGGCTGTTTACTGTCATCCAGATTTGCATTTTTCCAAAAAGTTCTAATCTTATTTTTGTATTTATTATATAAAATTGCAGGGGTCCTGGCAGACAGCAGGATGGCCATGAGCCAGCAATGTGCCCTTGTGGCCAAGAAGGCCAATAGCATCCTGAGCTGTATTAGAAGGGGTGTGGTTAGTAGGTCGAGAGAGGTTCTCCTCCCTCTCTACTCTGCCCTGGTGAGGCCGCATCTGGAATATTGTGTCCGGTTCTGGGTCCTCAGTTCAAGAAGGACAAGGAACTGCTTAAGAGAGTCCAGCGCAGGGCCACAAAGATGATTAAGGGAGTGGAGCATCTCCCTTATGAGGAAAGGCTGAGGGAGCTGGGGCTTGTTGGCTTGGAGAAGAGGAGACTGAGGGGGGACCTCATTAATGTTTGTAAATATGTCAAGGGTGACTGTCATGAGGATGGAGCCAGGCTCTTCTCAGTGGCATCCAATGATAGGAGAAGGGGACATGGATATAAGCTGGAACATAGGAGGTTCCGCTTAAACATGAGGAAGAACTTCTTCCCAGTAAGGGTAACAGAACACTGGAACAGGCTGTCCAGAGAGGTTGTGGAGTCTCCTTCTCTGGAGATGTTCAAAACCCGCCTGGACGCGTTCTTGTGTGATCTGATCTAGGTGGTCCTGCTCCGGCAGGGGGATTGGCCTAGATGATCCTTTGAGGTCCCTTCCAATCCCTAACATTCTGTGATTCTGTGATTTCCACCTGGCTAAGTAAAACAAATGCAACAACTGCCAAGGACTATGACCAATGGCAGCGTATGCTGTGCCAGTCACCTGCAGTTTTGCAGTGACAACAAGTGTACTGCTCTGCCCCTGCAGCTCGCTCTTTCTGGTAACAAGTCTGAAAAGTACAGATGAAGAAGCCTTTCTGCTCTAAACTCAGCAGTAAACACAAAGCCTGTTTGTTACAGAATACTCTATTTTAGATGACTTTATGTTTACATGGTGAAAAAAAAATAATCTGATTCTTTCCTAGCATCTGAAATTCGATAATTCAGGATATAATTTTCAAAGAGTAGTACCTTTTCTTTGTATTTGCTCTGTTGAAACTTCTTTTGGACACGTGGCAAGTTACCCTTACCAGAGTCCCCTGGAAAAAAAAAAAGTGTTTTTGACAGTTCAGTAAGGCTAAGTGGAGCAGTATCATAATATCCATTTGATTTTTCTTGTGATTGTTGATTAGAAACATAGCAGTTAAGTAGCCTTAAGTTTAGAGTCCACGGAAATGTTTTGTTCTTTCTCAGCAGTTATGCTGGCTAAACTCTTTCTTAGAACAAAACATCCTAGAACATGCTTATCAGTTGTAACTTAGTCCTGCTCGCGCTTAAGCTGTTTAAACTTGTGCCATTACATTGTGTGTTTGTGGTAAGTCGTGCCTGAACAGAAACTGAACAGAAGCAGGTTTGGCTTTATGTAAAAGGGACTTGATTTTCCCAGTGTAAATTCTGATATCAAGTATAACATATGCCAATAGTCTCTACGGAGACTCCCTTTTGCTTCTAGTTGTTGCCTTTCAGTCCTAAAATGCCTTGTAGAGGCCCCATTAAGACACAAGTTTGCGGAAGCGTCGTTGTTATTAGTGTTGTTATGAATAGGTGACACTGAGACTCCAATACGGCACCCTTCAACAACACTGAATTTACTTAAACTCTCCCAAAGAAACCACAAACCCATCAACATCTTTCATAAATTAATTTGCTGTTGCAGGAAGGACTCAGGGCAATGTGCATGCTTTTAATGTTGCCAAGTTAAATTGTCTTGGCTGCAGCTTTTTATTTGCTGCAGAAAGCATTATATTAATATTCTGATTAGGTACGAATTAGGTTTTTGATGGAATAATTTTGAGTAAGTAGAATATGTCAAGCATTGCAGCAAGATTACTGAGGTTCAAAGCACAGGACTTTGCATTTTGTTAATATCATGTAATTCTTACTGGCATCTATGCAGTTGAAACAGCGTAATGCATTTATGCCAGCATTTGTGTTAGGGAATTTAAAAGAGGCATTTCAGCGAGAAAACATAGGTTGTTGTTTGTTGGTTTGTTGGTTTTTTTTAATGCAACTACTCTTTTTGAGTTACGCAGTGTTTCTGGCCTGCTGCATAGTAAACCATTTTTCTGATTAATGTGTTGATACTGGGAAAGTGGTGGTTTGATTGTGTGTATTTTAGAACTGCGATTGAAGTATCACATTTATCTTAACATTAAATTTCATGAGCTATAACTTACCGCGTTTTTTTTCCCTTAACAGGATGGTGGTGCTTTGTTTTCTGAGCAGAACACTGCAACTAGCAAGACGTTCATCCAGTCCACTGGGGAGACAACTCTCTTCAGCCCGTGCAAATAAGCCAGTGTTGACTTTATTCACCAAGGTAAAAGTTATTTACAGAATAAAGCTAGGCAAGACTGCATATTTATCAGCTTTAATATATATGAATCCCAGATGAAATGGTTTGGCCATGCTTTTTGTCCCCTTAAATTTGTGTAGTATTGGGCATTTTACTTTGGGAGTGTCTTTTACACTAAGCTTTACAGCACAGTCCTACTCCCATTGTAGCAAGCAAGTAGCTACAACCAAGAAACGAAGATCTCAAGATAGAAACATAGAATGGTTAGAGTTGGAAGGGACCTCAAAGATCATCTAGTTCCAACCCCCTGCCATGGGCAGGGCAACCCTCCACTACACCAGGTTGCCCAAAACCTCATCCAACCTGGCCTTGAACACTTCCAGGGATGGGGCATCTACAGCTTCTCTGGGCAACCTGTTCCAGGGCCTCACCACCCTCTTGAGTGAAAAATTTCTTCCTATATCTAATCTAAATCTGCCCTTTTTCAGTTTAAATCCATTGCCCCTTGTCCTATCACTACACGCCCTTGTAAAAAGTCCCTCTCCAGCTTTCCTGTAGGCCCCCTTTAGGTACTGGAAAGCTGCAATAAGATCACCCCGGAGCCTTCTCTTCTCCAGGCTGAACAGCCCCAACTCTCTCAGCCTGTCTTCATAGCAGAGGTGCTCCAGCCCTCGGATCATCTTTGTGGCCCTCCTCTGGACCCGCTCCAGTAGCTCCATGTCCTTCTTCTGCTGGGGACTCCAGAACTGAACACAGTATTCCAGGTGGGGTCTCACGAGAGCATAGTTGTGTCTCAGTGATACCACCGTCCATTTGCTAGTTGAAAATTGTTCTCTGACTGCCACTGTTTCATCCTGGAAATGGAGAACAGAGATGAGTTGTTACGTATAATCTACCATCTACCCAGGACAAGCATCAACAGCCAACATAGGCTCTTCAAAGCACTCGTGTCTGTTTTCCGCACTACCTGTGAGACTGAAAATATATCCAAGTAGTGTTGGTAGCGCACGAGGAAAGAGCAGATTATGCTTTACCCTCTTTTTGCTTTATTGTCTGTGTGCAACACTAATAGGAATAAAAGGAAGGCAAAGGCTTGTTTGTGGCATGAGCAGATAGGATTCTTAAG